TAGGAGATAGGGACTTCATATTTGGTATGCATACTCCACCGATTGAGTTCTTTCAAATGACACAAAGGTCAATGACCTTGTGACCTTGACTGTGACCAATATGCTAAATATATATTTTTGAACTTTGCTGCCGCCGGGCGCATAGTGTTTCACAAACACATCTTGTTTTGATACATTTTCCCTTATCTATGACAACCTTTGTATCCGATAACAAAAACAGAAATTTCCGATAACAAAGTGAATCATTCAATCGTATTTCCGACCATATCCTGAAATCTTAAATAAGGCAATGTTTTCTCTTTAATTACACATTTGCAAGATTCTGACAATGTCTTATCATGGACAATCATTAAAGTAAGGTAAATCTAAGGATTTTGAAGAAAAAAACTATTTACAGCACTGCCAATTGGTAAAAAACGTGCAAAATATAACAGTTTTGACTTTTAAAAATTCCTCCCAAGTCTAACAAATGCTATAATAATATGTATCGAAACTTTATTTTGTATCTGTATTCATTTATGTTAACAAAAAGTAAAATGAACATTCTGTTTTTTACAGAGTTTTTTTCACAATAATTTACTAACCTATCATAAATTGCTATGTACTAGGGCTGTATCAATATATCGATATATCGATACGTATCGATATTCTAGAAAAATATCGTATCGAAAAATTACTTCCAATACATATCGGACAAGCACTTTTTCTTCTAATTATGCTAAAAAGATGGGAATTTTAATCAGCAAAGATTATATTTCACCTTTTTGAATTAAAACTGATCAATGATTATAGATTTATAAAAGAAATAACACAGTTTTTATAGTTATTATAAAATACATAACAATTTTATTTTAACATGTTGATTTTACAGCCATTAAAAGTTTCGATTGGAAGTGTTTTTTTTACTGACTATGGGATAAGAACTTTGAACTGGGTAATAAAACATTAATTTTTTATGAAATCCATGCATTAAATGATTAATAAGCCTTTTTTGATGGACTTGTTTTAGAATCCAATATATCGCATATCGCTTTCAAAAATATTGTATCGTATCGTATCGAAATTTTTTGCTCAATACACAGCCCTACTATGTACCGACTGCCCGATAACAACTGAGTAGCCGATTACGCATTGAGCAATGTGCTTTTGTATACACATGTATAGAGAAAAGAGATTTTCACAATGAAAAAACACAAACATAATTATAGGAAACGGGTCTATCTCTAGAAGGAGGGGATTGAGATTGACTTGACTGGTTATTCAATAGAAAAGAATACTAGTAAACTTAAATTACAAGACCGGAACGTCATGGGCCTACGTGAAGACCGCTGTTAAATAATTCGATCGAGTAGGTTTATGATCGTTATTGTGAAACTGACTATTTATGAATTAACTACGCAATCTTTTATAACACTAGTATTTGAGATTTATAACCTCCTAAAAAAATTAAACATTACACAGAATTTAGAAATTAAAAAACACTACGAGATACGTATTGATGTCGTCGGTTTTGCGCCGACAGCTGATTTGTTAGATCCGTTTACCGGAGAGGAAAATTTTTATTTATAGAGTTATTTCATTGAAATTCTAGGCATCGCTCAAAACATGTTGATCGTATGCCAATTTTTAGGTCACCTGACCTATTGCTATCTGTTTGCGTCCGTTGTCGTGCGTCGTCCGTCGTGCGTTAACATTTGAACATTTTCAGCTTCTTCTCTGCAACCACTGAACTAATTTCAACCAAATTTGGCACAAAGTATCTATGGGTGAAGGGGAACAAAAATTGTGAATTTCATGATTCTTGCCCCCCTGGGGCCTGAAGGTTGGGGCCAAAACCATTAAAATCAATGCAATCTTTAAAAATCTTCTTCTTCACTCCTGGACATTAAGCAGTCAAACCGTTTGCATGATATGGGTGCGTCGATTTACCCAAATGGACCCAAATGGACCCAAATGGACCCAAATGATTGTAGTCAGCATTGAGTCCTCTACCAAAATTCATGGCCCCAGGGTCAGGGGTTCTAGTGCTAGGGCGAGGCTAAATAAGTATATAGTGAAAATGCATTATTTCTTTCTTCTTCTCAGCTCCTGGGTATTAAAAAACTAACCAAATGCATAGTTATGATGCTTAAGAGTGCCTCTACCAAAATTGTGAATTTTATGGCCCCAGGGTCAGGGGTTCTGGTGTAAGGGCGGGGCTCTATATATTATATATTGAAAATACATGAATTCTTTGAGAATCTTTTTCTCTGCTCCTTGGTATCAAATTAACTAACTTAGTGCATAGTTATGAGGAGCAAGAGTGCTTAAATAAACTAAAATGTTGAATTTTGTGGCCCCAGGGTCAGGGGTTCTGGTGTTAGGGCGGGGCTCTATAGATTATATAGTGAAAATACATGAATTCTTTGAAAATCTTTTTCTTTGCTCCTGGGTATTAAATAAACTAACTAAGTACATAGTTATGATAGGCAAGATTGCCTCTACCAAAATTGTGAATTTTTTGGCCCCAGGGTCAGGGATTCTGGTGTTAGGGCGGGGCTCTATAGATTATATAGTAAAAAGTACATGAATTCTTTGAGAATCTTCTTCTCTGTTCCTCGGTATTAAATAAACTAACTACGTACATAGTTGTGATAAGCAAGAATGCCTCTACCAAAATTTAGAATTTTATGGCCGCATGGTCAGGGGTTCTGGTGTCAGGGCGAGTTCTATAATGATTATGCAGTGAAAAATTACATTAAATCTTTGAAAAATTTTTTCTCTGTCGCTGGGTATGAAGCAGATGAATTACCTACTGGAGTATATGGTTATGATGAGCAAGGGTCCTAATCTTCCAGAGCTGTGAATTTCAAGGCTTTAGTGTCAGGGATACCATGGAGGGGGGGGGGGGGCTGTACTTATGTACTGAAAATGAATGAACTATTTGAAATCTTCTCCTTGGTATTTATAAAATATTTTTGAAACGCAAGGATGTCTTTTCAAAAATTGTTCAGTGTGTGGATATAGGCCTAAGGATCAGGGGTTCATGTGTGGTAAGTGCACTATTAATTATTGCTGAATTTTACTGATAAATTGAAATGCATTTTTTGTTCCCCTACCCTGTCTATGGGTATTAAGTAACCAAGCTAAGCAACTGCTAAATGTATTGTTATGATTATCAATGGTGCATCTTTCAAAATTGTGAATGCCATAGCATCTGGCTTAAACATGAATAAAATTCAACAAGAAAATATTGATGTAACCATCAATTCTCGTCCAGGAAATATATAAAGTAAACAATGAAAATGAGTCTTGATCAACAAACCGCTTCGATATGTGTAAAAAGGCATGCGTCTAATTGATGGAGACGATACTCTCAAATATTTTAAAAAAAACTTGTAATCGGATAAAAATCAATCAAAAACGATACCATTTTAAACTTGATGAATTCCTAAAGTAAATGTTGGCTACATAAAATATAAATTGAAGTTAGACACAAGCATATCATTTATATTTAAAAATGTTTTAATTTTCAATTTTAGAATATAAAACACGAACTGTGCAGAGTATGTTTTTATCCGAGAAGTAAAATTCGATGTTCTAAAAAAAGGGAATTGTCGTTGTTTCGATAGTTAATGATAAGTAACTTTATATATTAAATATGAAAAACATATATTTTTACAGATTCATTTTATGGAAATAAATATATTATGTATCTTGTAATTTATAATCTGAAAGAACATTCTGATTATCAATCTTTTCAATGTTTAGAAAACCTTTAATTCTACATAACCACTCCCACCCCAATCCCCATACACCAACACTTAAACTTATATGTAAAGAGCAGCCCGGTCCTCCGGGCTGCATTAACTGGAAAGTTGTTGCACAATGCTCAGGTGACCTATAGGGCCAATGGGCCTCTTGTTAACTATATATTCCTAGTGATGTTGAAAATGTTCGCGTTTTTCTTGGACAACCCTCGTATTATGTTTTTATGTACTAGTCCTTAACCTGTTAAGTTTTAATATGTAATAATAGAACGATGTAACAATGGTCTAACATTTTGTACACAATTAGGATTTATACTATTAAACAAATATATTTAATTTCATATAAGACAATTCCCTTCACAACAAGTTGTCATCTTCCCCTAAAAAGCCTATATCACTTAGTAAATTGATATGTTAACAAACAGATTTCAAGGAAAGGATGAAATTGACAAATTCTGATGAATTGTAGTAATATATTAGTTTTATTTTGCGTTTACAGATTACAAAGTCATGAGTTTAAACATAAAGAAATTAGAATAAGGATTTTAATGGTTTGTATTAAAGACTTACGGATAAGGAGCACAATTCTTTAAGTTTGCCCAGGAATCCTTCTCTGGATAGAGAGGCTAAAAGCCAACACTCATCTGAAGGCATAAAAATTATGATATTTTTTAAATAACAGTACTTATAATTTGATTTTATATATCTAAATATTTGACTAAATTAAACGACTCATATTTTCCTCGAATAGCCCTTAGCAAACTATGATAAATATGTTACAATCATTCCCAAATAAAATGAGAAATTAGCCTGAAATAATCGTAACCATTTCTATAAGTATTGGAATTCTTAATCTATATTTGAAAAAAAGACCAGACACATTTATAATATCAAAGATAAAAAAAAACAATTCACTTAAATAATCAATCAGTTGTCCCCAAACTTCAGAATCTTTTAGGGAGGTGAGGGTTGGGTCCATTAACATATAGTTTAAAGAGGTTCATGTAAAATTAAAATTTATACCACATATCAAGAGTACAGTGACTCTCTCTGAGACATTAATTAATATTTTCATGTGTTACATAAGTTTTTTTTACGAGGGAATTTCAAAAATTATGAGAACTGCTTGATAAAACTTAATGGTTTCGGAGAAATTAATGAGTTTGATATCATTGGAAAAGACAGAAAAATATAAACTTGAAACGGTTATGTTTTCATTAAACAGTTCTCAAAAGTTCCCAGATTTTGAAATGTCCCTAGTATATCAAACATAAAATTATAAAGAAAGGCCAGCTTTGATGGAGATAATAATAGCAGAATGTTGTTGTTTACAGAGAAATCTCTCTGACTCTAGGAAATCAACACGGGATGCATAAAAACCACACGAAAAGCCAAAAAAATGTCTGCTGTAAATGATGTCTTGTTTAGAGTCACAGACATCATTCAGAGTGCCAGGTGTTAGTCGTGGTTATCACATTTCTCATGTATCTTCTGACCGCGTCTGGATCAGTGATAATAAAAATCTCGTCCTGACAAATACAGCAGGCAATGAAATAGATCGTGTTTCAGATATAACTAAATATGGTGATGGAGTACACACCGTGACAAGTGACGGCGATTTAATTTATATAGACAGGGAGGGTAACATCACCAAACTGTCAAAAGATGACACAGTAAAGTCACTATTAATACCGAACAACACAGCGCCATGGAGACCACTATGTGTCTACAGCTCCCCCTTCACTGGAGACCTGTTGGTCGGGATGTGTAATGATGATCCAGTGACAGGCCAGATAAACCGTTACACTAACACAGGACAACACATACAGACCATACAGCACAACAAGAAAGGCCAGGAACTTTACAGATATCCTAGATACATCACAGAGAACCACAATGGAGATGTTGTTGTGTCTGATATGGATGGTGATCATGGTTCTGTAGTGGTGACAGACAGTGAAGGAAGATACCGCTTCTCCTACACAGGTCCTCCATCAGGCTCAGGACTACGGCCATATGGAATCTGTACTGACGCGCTGTCACACATCCTGTTGTATGATTATAACACTGACACAGTACAGATCCTGGATAGGGACGGCCGCTTCCTTTCACAGACAGGCACACTACAACGCGCCATAGAAACAGTAAATGGCCTGAGAAAATGGCCATTTAGCCTGAGTTATGATTATAGAACTCATTTACTCTGGGTCGGATCAAAGAAAAACAACAAAGTGAACATCTATAGTCTTATTTATGGAGTTTCTATGACCGGTAAGTTAGATTGTTGTATTGTGTTAATGTCTCCTTATTGTTTTAAAATATTAGGTTAACAATATGATAACTATTTAAGTGTAATTACAAGTTGTTTATAAATAATGTATAAATAACTGTTTTATGTATAAATATATTATCTGTTTAATAATTATGATTTGTTGATTTAAGTAACAAGATAAAATTAAACAGAGCGATACAGATAAATTAAAATAATTTAATCTTACTTGTAACACGTCATTTGATTGGATAAAAGATTTTATCCATTTTGTATAACATAACTTGCCTACGTCACAATGAGTTACGTCAAAAACGTATAACTGCGCTTGACGTTACTTTTAAAATTTAATTAATGTGAAGCCTTATTGTGAGAAAAAAATTGTCTTATTGTTTGCACTGAAATCACATTATAAGGAATGAAGCTTATTTCAACTAATATTATACGATATAACAAAACTTTGAGCAGTTTCCCCTACCTCAGTCTTTTTAATGAAAATAGGTAATATCGTTGTTACTTTGGACTTAAAAGAACTAAGCAGGTATAGAATGATCAAAGGCTAAACATATTTCTTCTTTTTTGTATACTAAAAAAAGAGACTTGTTCTTAGGTTGGCTGGCAATCCAAGAGCTTTCTTCTTAATATCTTGAGAACCCTTTGCTTGACAGAAACCAAACTTACTCCCCTATAAAGAGTAGATGACCTTAAGATTTTAAGATAAATATCAAGGAGCAAAACTATCTAGACACAGAGATTTGCTAGAAAGACATCAACCCTGGTACACTAGTTGTTATGGAGAAGTGACTGATCTGTTGATTTCAAGGACACAAGGTGAAGGGTTAATGGTCAAATTTGATAAAGGAATACATTGATCATTTAATATCTAATGAACCTTCTGTTTAACAGATATCAACATTGAAATTAATTCCATTTAAGGAGTAAATTATCTCTTTGGCTTTTGAGGTCTCAAGTCAAAGGTCATTTTTTTTGTATGTTTTGTTTGTATGTTGTTTATCGTCCCTCTTGAGAATTTTTCACTTAAATTAGAGACGTCACCACTTGCTGATGGAGAACTGCAATTTTTGTCCTACACTCGGCATACAGGGCCATTGAGCACTGAGTGATCTTTTACGTGCCAGCAATTATTGCGACACGGGACCTCGGTTTATACGGTCTCATCCGATGGATAGGTCTTCTGGTCCCATAATGGTTTTCGAAACGGGGACATAAGATCGACTCCTTACTTCATGACTCTAGAGCAGACGCTCTAACTACTGCGCCACAATTCGACATCAAAGGACATAAAAAACTGAACTTAGGAAGATTAAATTAAGAACAGTTTGATTGATAGGCATAAAAGTGTATGCACTTGTTTAATCTAGAAATGAGATGGTTTATATTAATTTTAAAGATGTTGACCACTCAAAAACGACATCAAACATGACATATTCTTTCTCCTTGAGGAGTAAATGATCATCAAAGACATTGAGGAGGTGCGAGGTGAAGTGGAAAGAGCGTCTGCTCTAGAGTCGCAAAGTAAGAAGTTGAATCCTTGCATCAAGGGTTCGAATCCCACTGCGGGACGCAGAGACCGATCCCTCGGATGAGACCGTATAAACTGGTCCCGTGTCGCAGTAGGTGCACGAAATGATCCCTCCCTCCTCAATGGCCCTGAGTGCCGAGTAAAGGACAAAATTCGTAGCTCTCCATCGGCAAATGGTGGCATCTCCATATGAGTGAAAGGGCTTCAAATTAAGCCCTTTACTCGACATTCGGGGCCACAAAGCATTGAGAGGTCTTGAGCTTGTTTTGACACGGTTTTGACAGGAACTCCATTTGCCAAAGGAACAAATTTTTATCAAATTATGTTACTTACGGCCTGGGTTTGAGCCTACGACCTCTTCATCACAGAATGAGTGCTCTATTAATTGAGTTATGGTACTTTGACCGCTTATATGGAGAAAGATATTGAAAATTGAATATTTTGAGAACCCTTTATTTGACAGACATGAAGCTAGGTAACCTAGTTTAACCTTTATGGCTTCACAATGTCAAAGGTCAAGAGCTAGAAACACAGGCACTAGATACAGCAAGATTTGTCAACTTGTGTTTTGAGAACTATTTGCTTTATAGACAACGAATTAAGGAAACAAATTTAAAAATCTCCTTTTTTCCTGAGTATTACTCGGTAAGCAAAGTTGCACACCTCCTCCAATATTATGATTTTAATGGTCTCTGGTTCAGGGGATCTATCTGCTGTTAGGGCAGGACTCTATTGATTATAATGGAAAAACATTTAGTCCTTGGGAATATTCTCCTCTGTCTTTTGGAAATAAGCGAAAAAACTAAATTCACAGTTGTTATAAGCAAGGGTGTGTCTTCCAAAATTGTGAATTTCATGGCTCCTGGATTCTGCTGTTAGGGTAGGGTTCAAAAGATTCTTCAGTTAAAATGTATTAATTCTATGAAAACCTCCTCTGCTGCTTGATATTGAAGAGATGAAATAAGTGAATAATATATATTATAGAGCCAAACTAAATGCCATTATATAAAATTTATGTAAATGTTTAAATATAATCTTTGCTCCTGTGTATCTAAGAGGCAAACATAGTTTAAAATTTGTAATCATGGAAGCATATGATAGTTAAATTGTACTTTTATTTGCTAATTGTTCGAATAAAAAAAACCTTGCATGTAATTAAATTAACAGGGTATTATTTTTATTTGGAACACACAAAAATGCAATATATATATATATATAACCATGGTTATTCAGGTGAACATGGGCCTCTTGTAGATATTGATAGATTCTGGTGCTCATGTTTAAAGCCTTTTAGCGGTTCTCCCTCTGGATATCTATTTTATTTCTGTGTTAATTTGATATTACTAATAGATTCAGGTTTTCCTCTGTTTAATGTTTCTTATAAAAATTTCAGCACTCCCTGTGGAGAAGATTGAGTGTGAGAAGCATCCCAGTGGTACATTGTCCAAGTTCTGTGTCCCTTGTGAGGCTGCCTTGTGTGAAATCTGCATCACGACCTCTAGTGATCATAAGAGGCATGATGTTAGAGATGTTGAGAAATTGTTTCGTGACATACACAAGAGAAAAGGTTAGTAACTATGTACAGGCGAATAATACTTTTGAAAACCTTCACAAAATGATTATTATATCTCGAACTGAAGAAGTTTGAAAATTTTTTGAAACCCTCAACTATATGATTATTTTATCCATTTCCTTAAGAAGTTTAAGAATTTTGCGTCTGAATTTCATTTTTTCTAATATGCCTTTCTTTAAGTCCCAGACTTCAATACCAGTGGCCTTTAAGTTAACTTTAAGATTTTTTAACCTTTAAACTAGCCAGTGCATTAATAACTTCAGTGTTGCCCTAAATCTTTATCAACCTTAGCAAATCAGGTATTTTTGAGTTTTGAGGGTAAAAAAAAACTGTAATATAAATATATTTTTGTAGATGGAGATGCAGTTTTGAAGTGCCTTCTTCTTTGCCAGAATTACAAAATAAATCTTGAAGAAGAACAATGGATGGAGAAATATAATGCTGTGGCTGAAGTTTTCAAATTTAAGAAGATTAAGAAGAAATCTAATCTCAGCAAAATAAAAAAGTACAAACCAGTGCTGAAAAAGGATGGTTACAATGTCGAGTTTTCTTGCAAATTCTTCAGAGACACAAGCTTTTTAAGATTTGCAAAAGAACAAAAATTTGTAGATATGTTTCTAATTTGGGCAGAAAAAGAAAACATTTCGAGGTACTGCAGATCATCCAATTATCTGAGAAGAGAGGATGAAGAAGAAGTTTGTTGTTGGTTATTGCCAAATCAAACAGAACAACTGATAGATAGACTTGGGGAAGAGATATTCACACAAGTCACAATGAGGGACCGATCAATACATGAATTAGTGTATAGAAAGCGTACGTTTCTTTGTGGTATCGTTTTGCATATTTCAATGTTTTAGTCTTCTCAATCTCCTTAACACCAAGAATTAAAGGTGTAAAGTACAACAGTCTGTCTCTTTTTCTATTAAGATGTAAGGTAAAACTGTATTCAAGCCAAATTGAGGATCTGGTACATCTATGGATTCAAACTTTGATGCGTTCTACAAACTTTGTATCTGACCATTGACTCCGGTTAAATTCATGAATTAAGTCAGTTCTTGCTCATCCATTGTGACCATTTTTATTCCAAAATTTGCCCTTTTCTATAAGTGTTCTGTAGATATTGTCTTTTCTCTAGAACCACTAAGGAGTAAATATTTATTTTAAAAGGGAAATTTAAGGAGGACCAAGCCCTCTTTTCTGATTCTGAATATTGAAAATAATGAATAAGTGATAGTATCATTTAAAATTTTTCTCTTCAAGAAGTGGTAGGCCAAAATTAAATCAACACTCACATGAAAGCTAGCTATGCATGAATAAAAACTTGTACAAATCATTAATCTTGGGTGATAGGTTTGACCACAATAAAGTATCGCACTGTGTGACATAGAAATACGCAGAAAGAGAATAACATTATCTATAAAAACATAGCAGGGTACAATATTGATGATATAACAAAAACTTCATTCTGACTTCATTTTATGTGAAAATAAACAAGCAGCTTCAAATTGAACAAAATTCAGATTGGATCCCCCATTTCCTGCCTCCTTGGATAAGTGGAGACCAGAAAAATATACGTCAGGATATTTAAGAAGAAATAAAACAAGATGTGATATCCACTAAGCATGCAAATATTTATTCAAATTCTTGTCTAACAGAAAAAACCATATAGAATAGGTTGCAATACATAAATAGGATACCTTAACATTTTTTCAGGAATATGGAATTAGTTCTTCTGAAGAACAAGTGGTAAACAGATCATAAAGTGATTGTTGCCGTCCATGTCCCTTCTCTTTTTTTTGTATCTTAATAAATAATGGTCTTTACCCTTTAATATTTGTTAGGCTTAAAGCTGAGAAGTGTTACATTATAGAGCAACGTTTTTTAACTTTTACACCAATTCAACATACTCTTTTGGTTCATTTAAGTAGAATAATTAAAAGACATGAATATAAATTTTACCCATTTCTGTGATTTAAAGGACTAATTAACAGAGGTTTCATTCTTGTAAGAGATGCTTTGTCTTCTTACAGTGGGTATACCAGTACAGGTTATAATGAGAGGAGATGACTCCGTGAAAAATTTCCTTGAAAATCTGAAGAAAGGAAAGACAACGATGTACCACGCCACTGGGATGTTGATAGGATGTGCAGGCAGTGGGAAGACTACGTTACTTGGAAGATTAAAAGGCATTGACTTGGATGATATTCTAAATAATACAAGATCCACCAGGGGAATTGATATCCAGACCGACGTCTTTGATGTGTCAAACACCATCGAAGGTATTGTTTCAATTTTAGATCAATACTTGTAAATGTTGATTCACCTCTGATGAAGACTCTGTCATAACTTTATTTTGGGATAAGGTTTTTTTTGTTACAATATGTTTATTATTCGACTGGATAATTGCTAGCTCTTTGATTGGCCGAGGTCCAAAAGTACGGCGAAAATAAATCCTTATATCAACCAGCACGTGACCTTTCCAGGTGATTATAAGGATTTATTTACTGTACATTGGCCTTAAAGTAGATTTAGAAATTTTAAATTGATACAAATAGTTTTGGGAAGCTACCGAATCCCACTCAGGTTAGCATAATGTTAGGAAAATATATAATTTTGGGTGGGGAATAAATGGAAACATACCCCCTTTTTCTGAACGTAAATGTTTGTTTTTAATATAGACTAAAACATTCACAACTTGCCAGAAAGAATCTCTTGGTAAAGGAAAGTCATGTTTGTTCAAATGAAGAGCAACTTACACATTCAAGGGGAGATAATTAAGAAGTAGAGTGAACATATGGTGGCATGCTTTAAAAATCTTGTTCTCAAGAACAGAAATGCAATTATTAGTCATATTGATCAGGAAGTACTCTCGTGTTGAATTCTTTAAGTTTTTTCAAATAATCCCCCACCATGATATCATGTTATTCTACTCGACTTCTCAGAATATTATAGGCATGATTGATCATATTTATATGCAAGCATCATTTCTGACTGGATTTCGACCTTGTAAAGGTCGCGTAGATTCCGATTTCTTCAAATCATGACACCAAGGGGTAGGTTGGACTACAATGAAAGTTCAAACAAAAAGGTGGAAAAGTCACAATTAGTCGGAGAAATATGCAAGCATCCTTAGTTATTGTAGATTGCATTTGTTCGAATCATACCCACTTCCACCCCGATAGTTCGGGACCATGAAAAGTTTTAAATACTGAACTGTTTTCTATTTTTTTTCCTAGCCGTAGTGCTTAGGTTAGATATGTGGCCAACGAGCCTCGTACTATATAGCATAATTTAAAACTCTCGTTTCCATTATCATCATGTAAATTTTATTGACACGATATTAATAGTGTAAGTTAATGTAGTACTTTGAATGAATACACATAATGTGACCAAACTTAGTATTAAATACGTATAATGCAACTTTGTTGTTTTTTTTGGGGGGGGGGTGTTCAATAATTTGGTTTCATAACTTATTTTAATGAATTTATATATTTCTTACAGTAAATACATCAGACCAAAAACAACGCTTTAAGGTTAGAATTGATGAAACAAGTAAAAATCAAAGGGTTCCAGAACCTCATCAAGAATTATCTAGTAAGATGAAATCACTAGAAGTTGATGACAGAGGGGATAATGAAGAAGACACTGCTAGTGAGAGCGCTGATGACGAAGAGATGTCAAGTGACAGCATGAACACAGAAACCGAGTCACTCAAAGGAGACGAAGCCTCTGCTCCATTTTTAGAAAAGACAGAGGAAAAAGTTGATGTAACTCAAACTGTTGCTAAGATTTCAGAAAGTTTGGGGACTATACGAGTCTCTAAACAAGAAAAGGGTGAACCAGAGAAAAAAATTAGTATGGTTGACTTTGCGGGCCAGTGTTCATATTATTCCTCACACCAGATTTTTTTGAGTCCACGCGCGTTCTTCATTCTGGTGCTCAATATGGAGAAAAACTTTGATGAAATGGTAGGAGAGGACGTGTGTAGCCAGGAACGTTCCATTTACAAAGGATACACCCACAGAGGTTTGTTTTGGTACAAAATACATTGAAAGCGGTTAAAAGAAGATTTGTTTGTGAAACACTGATGCCCTTTTCGTAGTTCATGGCAAATATAATTTATTATAAAGCTAATAAATATTTTTTATGAAAAAAAAAACTACAAAAATCTATGATTAACGTTCAATATTTTTGCGTTTTATTGGACGCTGACTTTTACTACATAAATGATGAATATGCCAGAAACTTTCCGAAGGCGAGCGTTCAATATATATAGAACGGGGACTTGTTACAGGAAATATGAATTACCGAAAAAAAAACATTCAAAGGAAATAGCTAAGGTATTTTTTAAAGTAGATCAACTTCTTGGTCAAAAGGTAAGAATTATTGATACGCAAATGAAGGCCTTGTAACAAGAAAATTATATGTGAAAAATAAGAGCCCGAGCACCAATCATCTAAACCCTATTACCAAAAGTGGGCCAAACTTCAAGGTAAAAGAGTCAAATTGTTGGTTTGCAATGAAAGGTCTTGTAACAAAAAATACACGAATCATATGAAAGCTCTAGCTCCAACCATTCAAACTTATGGCTTAACTTAACTATCAAAGTGAGTAAGACTCAAAAGTTAACGTCTAAAAGTCAAAAATATCTGTAGCAAAGAATGTGTTAATCACGAGGAATAAACGTTTAATGTACAAAAAGTCTAGCACTAACATGAATGTTTATCTTTCTCAGACTATCTTACATTTTGGGCAAAATCCATTCACCAATACAGCAGCGAAAAGGCTCCCATTATACTGGTTGGCACTCATGCTGAACAAAAGACAGATCAGGTATTTCAAGAATATTTTGGTGCAAAATTACAAAAAAGACTTCATTGTGAACTTTACAGGTTTATAGGCCTTGTTTTTATAAAAAAAGGAAACTTTCTAATAACTCCTGCAAATAAAGTTTGGTTAATATGGGGACATCAGTTTGTCATTCTGTCTAAAGAAGAAACATACGTAACACACATTTGAACCAGAGATTCGTTATAATTTGAGAATTTCTCATGAACATTGGCCAAGGGTCAGAAAAGTTGAAGGCCTCTGTCAAAAACTCTGTAAAATTGGGACATTGCTATCGTAAGGTTGATCGAAAAGGTTGACTGGATTGTGTATTGTAAAGTTCAAGGCCACTGACAGAAAAAATACTGACACTCTAAATGGAAAAAAATGGAATTTCAGACATCAAACAATGTTTATTAAAGAAGATGGGCGTATTAGGCGTGTGATCTGCAGGAATCATTTGTACGAAACATTTATGGTTTTTAATGTCCATGATTCGGTTGGCTGAATATTGTTGGTCAGATTTTACAAACACGTCCATAAGGTTTTTTTTTCATTTTTCATTTTTTTCATTTCATTTAGTTGGAAAGACTTTGTGAGATTGTAACATTTATGTCCGTTTTTCCTAGGAGGTACTATAACATAGTAATGTTTCACAAAAAATAAACACCTATAAAATATTTAATTCATAGATGCATGATACGTGTTTGTGTACATTATATAATAGAAGATTGGATGTGATTTTCGCTCGAGAACCAAACTGAACCAAAATTGATCTAAATCAGAATTTTAATACATCAGTACATAAAACGAAACTGACAAAATAAATGGTTGTTTGCATGAAAAAAAAATTAACACCCAATGCCAGGCTTGAACCAAAAACTTCTCACTTTGAGCGCACTGAACACGTAGCGCTACTTACTGAGCAATCACTGCTACACATTTAAAGATGATTTAAAAGGGACAAAGAAGCACCACATTCACACATTTGGATTTTTTTGGGGAAAAGTTCATTTTTGGTGGTCTCTGGGTCTTCTCTCAATTTTTTTTTAAAATGTGTATTCGTTCCTCTGGATTAAAATACACATAGATAACGTTTCAAAATCATGGAGAGAAGACCCAGAGATAGAAAAATCTTAGAAAAACGTAGTTAAAAATGTACCATTTTGTACCAAATGTCTGATCTGGTCAATTTTCAAGTTATTTTTTAGCAAAACAAAGCTCAATTTCGGGAAAATATTTTCCTTTCCTGTTGCACAGGAACCTGATCAATTATAAAAATGTTGAAATTTCATGATAAACGTCGATAGAATTTTCACTTTTCAATTTCGCCCAGATTCCTGCCGAATCCCAATCTAGAGCACCCTCGTTCAAATTTGTTTTTTGACCCATTGTTCAAATTAAGAGAAGATATCATCTAGGTCTTTGACAAGTTAGAAAATTCAATTCACAAGAGAAAAAATTATTTTATGGCAATTACATTTTATCAGAAAGAGGTTAGATGTTTACCCTCACACAAAAATAAGTAAAGAATTTACGAATAAATTGAAAACATTAAAACAAGTCCCAGATACAAGTTCAAGGTCATTGACGGACAAACTTTATTTCATGTCCTCTCCAACTTTTCTAACAAATTAAAACATAGTAGTTTAAATTTTATCATGAGTTTAAGGCCAGAGATTACTGATGAAGTGATATGATCTTCAGCATGTTTGCTTTTTGATAGAAAAGTAAAAATTGCATTGCCTTTATATTTTTAAGTAAAAAAAAATCATTGTATTTGAGAAATAAGAAAATGAGAAGGGGTGCCACTTCTTCAGCTTGCCCATAGAACATTTAGTTTTATTTACTTTCTTTCACTATATTATCTTTTTAGTTGAACATACGCATGAAGGGAGGAACTGATGTCCTTTTTTTATTTTTTATCGTATTACTTCTTTATATACTTTCAAAAATATTTTTCTTATTAGGAAAAAGCGGAATTTTTCCGTGAGATATGGAAGACTTTGGAAACAAAAACCAAGGCTTTGCAGGGACATCTTGACCGGAAGAGAGGGTTTGCCGTAGGTTTCCACGAAAATGAAGGCATTGAAAAAATCAAGGAGTCAATTGTTGATGTTGTTCAGAAACTTGATCACTGGGGTGAAGTGCTTCCACATTCCTGGGCTATGTTTGAAAACTTCTTCCAGGAGAAGAAATACCTTAAAATAATCAATAAAAGAGTACTTTTGGCTTTCAATGAAGCACTACCACAGGATATTAAATTGGAGACAGTTGAAGATATCAATACCATGCTGCAGTTTTTCCATGATATCAGAGAAATCTTGTTTTTCTGTCAAGAATTTCTGAGAGACGTAATCATTCTAGATGTTCAGTGGTTTGCAGATGCTTTCAAAAATGTAATTACTGATAAAAACCATGCAAATGAGGATTTATTAGAGTTTACATCGGAGTGGGACCAATTAGATGACACTGGAGAATTGAATGACACTTTGTTGTCTAAGATTTGGGAAATGAACAATAATGAATACCTTGAACACAAAGATGAGATCATGCTGTACATGGAGAAGCTGGGGCTATTGGCTAAAATGGATGACAAAAAATGGTATGTTCCCTGTATGAACAAAAAAATATTTCCTGTTAATGCGTTTTCTTCAAAATTAGCTTCATCCATCCTCTGCTTCACATTTGATGTTCTTCCTGCGGGCATTTTCCATCGCCTTGTAGCAAGTTGTATGCAAATTCCTTGGTGCATTGTCAAAGAAATGAAGGGAGGAAAAGATCAACCTTGCATTTACCAGACAGCGGCTGTGTTCCTATTAAGAGACCACAACGTTTTGGTAGGAATGACCTCGAAAGAAATCCAGTTGCAGGTGTTTGTTATTGATGGAGAAGTTGATGTATCAACATGTTTCCAGATACGAAGGCAAATTGAGGGTGAATTGCACATGCTTTCTAATACGTTCCAAAGAAACATGAAATTTAATGTTGCTTTCAAGTGTAGTTCTGTAGGCTTCTGTGATAGTGAAAGAGGTCACGTGATCAAGGAATCTGAGCTCAAAGAACCGAGTTTTCAATGTCCGTATTGTCCACTAGAAAAAAAACATCTCATTATCACAGACGATGTCACCAAGTACTGGACACAGGTAATGTAGCATATTACTTTTGGCAAAGAGATAGAGAGAGTGAGAGAGCGATGAAAATAGACAGTGATAGAAGTACATGTGCTATTGGTGGCACTAATGTATTCACTTATTATTTGAGAAAGACAATTCTTTGAAGAAAAACATTAAAAATATCAATGAGAAAATATCATTTGAATGTGATTTTTCTAAATACTGAGTGAAAACTGTTTTCAAATCTAAAAGAAATATGGTTGATATCCCTTGGGATGCGCAGTGATGTTTGTTTTATGCATAAAGTAAAGAAATTGTGGGCTTTTTTTGCTGGGTAATATTATAGAAAAACTCATAAGATACAATGATTACACATATGGATATAGCACCATAATATTTTAATTAAATAGAAGCAGAAAGTAAAGAATGTTAGCGAGGAAGAAAAAATACCCAATGAAGGTATGTATTATCTTTGTAATTTACATTGTGTTAAGTCTAAAACATTTGTTTGGTTGAATAAAAGGAAAAAGTACGAAATTAATGATAAATTTGATGACAATACAAATTGTATTTTCAACAATACAAATTGTGAACAAGGCATAAAATACGGACCGTCGAAAATTGTGTGGTCAAGTGCCAAGGTGAAGTCGCAGGCAATGTTTATACAACTAACTCAAGACGGAATAATTCGTAGTTAATTTAATATAAAAAAACAAAGACCTTACAATATATTTGTATGAAACGGTCAGCCAAAATACGACACAATGATTGCTTATGTAGTTATGTTTGTTAACACGTTATCATATAAAGAAAATTTTCGAAATGCAAACCTTAAACGACGAGGATAATGACATCTCTTCTTTGTTAGTAACCTGCTTGCTCTTTCGTTGCTAATATGTTGCCAGACGTGACGTGATGAAAAAGTGCATATTAGTAGAAGAAAATTGTATATGTCTACTTAACATAGGAAAGTTCATGACGGGAAAGTTGAATTCTATTTATTTGTCTTTGTCATGTGTATTTGTATGTGTGTGTGTGTGTGGGGGGGGGGGGGTGAATGATGTCCATCATTTTCATTTATCATTCAAACAACAACCATGACAAAAATTTGAACGATGTTTTTGTTTCTTTTATCATGAGTTAACTAGAATTCATCTAGTCGACAAATAAATGTAAGAAAATATTAATTGATAATACATTGTTGATATATTTAATTTTTCTACTTGCAGGCGATAGCAAGAGTTTCTTTAAGAATGTTAAGCTACAAAAGAAAATGAAATCAAGTAATACGTATAAGTAATAGGGCATAAAAGTACCAATAGGGTCTTCACCAGATATTTGAAAGACATTGTCTCAATTGACAACATAGATTTTGTCAAGAAGAAACCCGACATTTTTTTTATTTTTAACCTTCGATTGTTTGCAAGTAGAATTCGATATATTTTGTTTTATAAACAAATTTATAGTTGACCATATACAAGGCCTTTTAATTTTAGAAATGGAGTTGATTTTAAATGCAGTATCAACAAAACTGGGTGACATTTCCTCTTCTCTACTAGCTGCAACTTTTGGAGTAAAAATGGAAGAAAGTTCCACTTGTCTTGAAGAAGACAGGTTCAGAATTCTTTATAAATGGAAATGCAAATACTCAGAAGTGGATCACAAAAAGGAGTTGGAGACAATTTTACGGGAGGCAGAACAAGGAGAAGCAGCAGATTACATCGAGTTTTTTCAGGTGTTTGACTTCGAATGCAGTGAAATAGTTTCACCTTGTCAGGCGGTTTCAGAAAGAGAATTCAGCGTGCTTTCTGCAAAACTTTCGAAAAATTACACTCATTTTGTACGATTTTTAGGGATCCCACATATTTGTATAGAACATATCGAAGCAAACATTCCTTACATCAAAGAAAGAATATATCAATCGCTCTTGAAATTGAAACAAATGCGTCAAGGTTTGAGTCGTCAGGATATTTGCAGGGGTTTGAAGTTCATTGAACGAAATGATCTCGTTGGTTTTCTTAATGCTCTATGGAAATCTAAATGGAAAAATTGATGAAAGACAAAAAAGGAATATTAGAAATATGTGCAATTATTCCACGAAAAGCTGTTTCGGACTTTGAACATGCAGAATATTTTCAATATATCATTGTTTGTAAAATCAATTAAACAATCTCAGTAAAATTTTATTTTCAACTTTGATGAGCATATTTGTTTCAAAAAGATGTTTATCTTTATTTTTGTTGTTGTTGATTATTTGTGCATAAATCTATATACTGCTTATTTTGAATTTGATTATGTTATCTCAGTCATTCACCAATTGCAATCTATTTTTGTCTCCTTGAATTGGGTGCTAGTCGAAAAATGTACTTTAACTTCTTTTTCATGTGTGTTAAATTACGTTTAACTTAATTTGGCATACAATATAACATCAATTGATCAAAGTTTATATCTCCTGAGGAGCATGGGATGTGGGTTTAAACCATCAAATCAAATGCAATATTTAAAAATCGTTCTTCTATACTCCTGCATTTGAAAGCGAAAAACTGTTGGCTTGGATATAATGGCACTGCAAATTTTGAAAATCATCTCAAGAGGGTGAAGATTTTGAGTTCAAATAATGTTCTGTTTATCATACAGAGATATAATAAGTTTTTAAACATCTCTTTTCTTCTTTGCCCTGATTATTATGCAGATAAAATAAGAGCATGATTATGACGAACAAGGGTATCTTTTAAAATGTAAGATTTTTGGTCTTAGGGTCGAAACTTATATAGAATGTGAAAGTTAAAAATAATTAAAAGATTTATAGTAATGATGAATTAATAAGGGTGTGTCATAGGGGCTCTATTAGCTCTATTGTAAAGCTGCGTTGTTTACATAAAATCATTTCAACAACTGGGATTCGGCAAATGAGACATACTATGTGCACAGATATGATAAGCAGGGATACCTATTTAAAATTTGTAGAATTTTTGACCTCTGAGTCAGGTGTTACGAAGTCAGGGCCGTGCTTTATTTATGAGAAAGGGAACATGCATTTCCTTTTTTATTTGTAAATTATTTCCTGTGCCTAGCCCTTTGGATTAAATCAAAGATTTGAGTCAGAATTAAGAATATAAATAATTAAATTCCATGTCTCCGTAAGCGAAAGGTCCTGTAATAAGCATAGGTAGTTACAGATTTATATTATACTCAATTGTATCAGATACATGTATGTATCATTCTCAAGTGTAACAGATTTGTTTTATACTTAAGTTGTACAGTTTTGTATTATACTTAAGTGTTACAGTTTTGTATTATATTTTAGTGATAAAGTTTTGTATTATACTGTTCAGGTCACCTGAGTAAACTCAGCGTGAGCATCCCCTTCTGACCGATCACACCCACTGTTTGCTCCCTGTCATGATCGGGAAATAACGGTCAAATTCATGGCCCCAAGGTCAGGGGTTCTAGTGCTAGGACGGGGCCAAATAGATTATGTAGTAAAAATGCATTATTTCTTGATAATTTTTCTTTTCTCCTCCTGGACATTAGATAAAATAACCAAGTGCATAGTAAATTTGAATATGGCTGTATTTTTCATAATTGTGAATTTCATGTACCCAGGGTCAGGGGTTCTAGTGCTAGGAAGGGGCTAGAAAGATAATATAGTTAAAATGAATTATTTCTTTAAAAAGAATTTCTGTGCCTATGTATTAAAATAATACACTATAAACACAGTTATGAGGAGGAACGATGCCTCTTAGAGATTTGTGAATTTCAGGACCTCTGGGTCAAGGCTGGGTGTTAGGACGGGACTCTAATGTTTATGTAATGAAGGCGCATGAATTCTTTGAAAATCTATTCCCTTGCTCCTGGGTATTATGCCAATGATCTGTGCATATATTTATGATGAAGAAAGCTTAAACTGGTTAATTGCCGGGCCCCTGGGTCAGAGGTATTTGGAGGGGGAGGGTACATAGTCTTAATATAAATAAATGCTTTGAAATCTGAACTTTGATATTATTCAACAATTACTGATGAAATAAAATTCATACAATTTCAAAAATTTTGAAATATATGGCCCCAGGGTCAGTGATTCCTGTGGGGCGGGTGAGAAAATGGTAACAAAGTGAAAATGCAATGGTGTTTCCATTTTTTAAACTCCTAATAATTTAATTTCACTTGTATCAAGCTATTTCATTTGCTGAATCATTCAGAGGAACATATAATATTTTGGATAACATAACTTGCCTACGTCACAATGAGTTACGTCAAAAACGTATTACTCCGCTTGACGTTACTTTTAAAATAATGCTCAATTTGAAGCCTTATTCTGGAGGAAAAATTGTCTCATTGTCTATATTGAAATTAAATTATAAGGAATGAAGCTAATTTCAACTTATGTTATACGATATAACAAAACTTGGGGCAGTTTACGCTTTTTTATAAACCGCTTCGCTGCCCCAAGTTATGTTATATCGTATAACATAAGTTGAAATTAGCTTCATTCCTTAAAAATACCACAAGAATAACTAATAAAATACTAAAACAATTTGACACTCTGACCAATCGAAAGCCATATTAAAATGAAATCGACTTTCAAATGAATCTTACACGTTTCTTACACGATTCTTACAGGAAAGTCGCACGTTTCTCACACGCTTTTCGCACGCTCGCTACAAGGTTTGCACGAAACGCTTAGAAGTTTACACGAAACGCTACACGGTTTGCACGAAACGCTGCACGGTTTACACGAAACGCAACACGATTTGCACGAAACGGTAAGCGCACGAAAGTTACACGATTTTTTGGGGTAGTAGCACGTCTCAGAGTCTGTAGAGACCCCTTCTTTGGATGTAACCGTATATAGATTGATTGATTGTATGTTGTTTAACGTCGCTCTCGAGAATTTTTCACTCATATGGAGACGCCACCACTTGCCGGTGGAGGGCTACAAATTTTGTGCTATGCTCGGCACTCAGGGCCTTTGAGCAGTGAGGGGTCTTTTTCGTGCCAGCACCTACTGCGACACGGGGCCTCGGTTTATATGGTCTCATCCGAAGGACCAGCCTCCACGTCCCGCAGTGGGATTCGAACCCGCGACGTAAGGATTAACTCCTTACTTCGCGACTCTTGAGCAGACGCTCTAACCACTGCGCCACGCGGGCGACACCGTATATAGAAAATGTGTTCTAAAATATATTAAAAGTGATGCATTTATGAATTAAGTAAAATAGAATGATCCATATGTACGTTTTTGTCATGTTTGATTAAATCTTACTTGAGAATGCCTCTACCCTTTTCGGACTCGCTTCCATTCAATGAAAACCCGACATTGTCTCTTTATTATTTAAGGATTTTTTAGCTGTAAAATCCTTATATAAAATTACAGGTGGTGAAAAAATGCCTGTAGATGTCAAATACAGAAATTACAGTATCTAGAAAATGATCATAAAATACCGTGAATGCACAAAGATGTTGCTTTGTTATTCATAAATTCTTGAGAAAATACCCATTTAAAGCCCATTTATAAACATTATTTGAATTTAATAGAAGACCATATAATTCCTTCCACCAACGAATGAATATATCCTTTCAACACGAAACTGTTTAGCAGGGGATGCTCACTCCTCCTTGGCACTTAATCCCACCTCTGATGTTTCGGAGGTCTATGTTTGCTCTGCTTCTCATTTGTATTGTTTAATGAACTTTGACATTGAATACTGTTTGTTTTCTCCATATCCTAAAGGTTCTTCGTTTAGAAAATGAAATTTCAAATAATTATTTTAGCTAAAGAACAGTGTTCACTTATTGCACTTAATTTCTGAAAAAAACTCAAACTGCTGAATGACATTGCATTGGATATAATTAGCCCTCTGGGTGACTGGTTGTCTAGCAAAAATATCGTAATATTCTGGCTAGTGAATGCATTAGGACGTCACAAAATGCGTCAATTTCCTAATATTTTGAAAATGTCTACAAAACAGGCAATTTTTAAAGCTTTCTTTTTTTGTACTATATACAGAGCACAACCTCTAATCTAAAAAAAGCATTTATTACATAATAGATTTGTTTCTGAAGATCACAAGACTTTTTTCATTTTTAGATATGAGGGTGCGCTCATATTCTTTTTCTTCTCTGAAAGTACTCAAACATCCTGTTTACATTTCAAAAATTCAAGAAAATTGCAAATCCATAAAGCCTGTGTTCCAAGACCTGGAATTTAAGGTGAAGAAAGATATAGAGATATCAAACAGTATTCAATCTGAAAGTCCATCAAACAATACAAAATAGGAGCAGAACAAACACGGACCTCCAAAACATCAGTGAGCATCCCCTGCTGACCGGTCATCCCCGCCGTGTTCTCCTTATTATGATCAGGAAATAACGGAAAATCTGTCGTCAATTCAGTGTAAAAGAATGGACTAACAATTAGTATGAAATACGTCAATCAGCATTCAACTCAGTGATACATTCTATTTGCTGACAAGATCATTGTATCGACCATATAACTTACAAAATGATGACTTTAAACGAGGCTGTTGATATTTTTGTTTCATCAACTTGCTTGTCAAAAATTTAGCTCGTTTTAGAAATTGTTCATACGTAGAGCATGCTTTTGCATATCGAATCAACTGAGGTTTATATACTCCGTATGCAGAAAAGAAAATAATAGGAAACAAAAGTGCTAAGTCTTTACTTTATTTGGCATATAATAAATTAGTATATAATTGGTTAGTTAGTTAATAAATGTGTACATCTACAGGGCCCATTAATGCAAAAAGTGAACCAATCTGTTTGGTGATGAACACAATTTTATATATTTATTACCAACACAACGATAGAAGAAGGTAATTAAAGTATGACATGTATCAAACATTTGTTCAAATAAAAACTTATTTTTAATCATTTATTGTTATCCTAAAGTAAATTCTTTAAACAAAACACAACGCTTTAAGGTTAGACTTGATGAGAAAAGTCAACATCACAGTGTTCCTGACCTTCCTGTAGAATTATCTGATGAGATGAAAACACTGGCGATTGATGACACTGGGGATTATGAAGAAGACACTGCTGGTGAGGATTATGAATATACCGGTAACGAGACTGATGATGAAGAGATATCAAGTGCACGTGACAGCATGGACGCAGAAACCAAGTCACTCAAAGGAGAAGAAGCTGCAGCTCCCTTGTTTGAAAAGACAGAGGAAAAAGTAACGGAAAGTCCAAGTGTTATTGAGAATTCCGAAAGTTTAGGCATTTAAAAGGTTTCAAAAAGTGCTTCCGATGAACCAGAGAAAAAAATCTCTATGGTTGACTTTGCAGGGCAGTTCATATTATTCCTCACACCAGATTTTGTAACCAAGAAGGATCCATTTGCAAAGGATGGACACACAAGGGTTTGTATTTATAAAGTAGAATTTCATATTCATTTGAACTTATGCCATATGCAAGCTAATCTATGAAAATTAGACTAGAAAGAAATAAGTCACTGTTTATTTGTCTCTTAATTTGATCACCTACAATAACGTGTTAAGGTTATGTTGATTGACCTATTTTTTGCCCCCAGATTTTGAAAATTACTAATTATTATCTCTAAGACTTTATGGTTTATCAAATGTTGACAAATGAGTCAGAAAGACAAGAGCAGAATTTTTGTTTCATTTCTACCCATTGTTCTTTCTTCTTTTCCATAGATTTTCAAATTGGATAAGGTTATGTTGATCAGAAATAATTTTTATTTTCGCTTTAAATCGAATAACTGTTAAAAAAACTACTTTATAATCAACCAGTTACTAGTCAGTTGAGGTTGTTTTAGAGTGATTTCTGTGTGATGATCGAATTTCATTGTCATTAAATGTAATTGGTTCTTATCTCTTAGATTATTTATTTTTTTGGGCAAAGAGTATTCACCAATACAGCAGTGAAATGGCCCCAGTTTTAATGGTCGGCACGCATGCTGAAGAAAAGACAGAAGAGGTATTTCATATTATATCTGTGAAAATTGTAAAATCACACTTGTAATTAAATCAATGCATTATAATCAATATGATGGCTATCATTTCCAATACCTTACACGAGTTTTTAATGGCTGCAAGGTGTTATTACTTGTAAAGTATATAATTGATATATTTAAATTTCAGTCTGAATATCTTTAAAATAATATTCTTTTCCCCTCCTGCACATGCTTCAGAACCATAATAATGGGTTGCAAGGTAGCTGAAATTCTCCCCCAAGAAAATTAAAATCTTTCATAATTGAAGGCATTGCTAAAATAACATGATTTTGTTACAGCCTGATGCCCCCGTATTTCAGCTTATGATGAAAGTTAAGGTTATCCTTACTTTAAGTCAAATTCCAGGTCAACAGAACAAAAATATTGGTTATTCTTGACACGAAGAGTATACGTGTTGAGTACAAAAGCCCTAGGACCAGCCATTGAAAAAAATTTTGAAAAAAGGTTCTAGTTTTCAAAAGAAGGTCAAATTTCAAGGCCATTATCCAATTGCCAACATTACAGATGCCAACCGGAAGGTCTTATCACAAGAAATTCACTTGTGAAGTATAAAAGCCCAAGCTCCAACTATGCAAAAGTTTTTTTTTCAAGGTTATTCTTTTCAAACACAAAGGTCAAAGGGTCAAAGTTGTTGGTATCCAAATGAAGGTTTTTTTCACTAGATATACACATGTGAAGAATGAAAACCCTAGCACCAAATGTTCAAAATTTAGTGCAGATTCAAATTTATTCATATCATAGAACACTTAGAAGAGGGAGGGGGCACATTTGGAAATCTTCGTTTAAATAAAGTATTTTAAAATCATCTTCTTATACACTGCAAAGCCATGATTGATCATACGTATTTGGAAGCATCCTCTTAAAGTGAAGATTAAAATTTGTTCAAATCTTGACACTTAAGCACGAAACTGACCGCAATGGGCTTAAGGTTTTAGTTAGATAGTTACATAGAAAAGACATTTAAAAGTCTTCATATCACGAGCGGCAAAGCTATGATTATGGATATTTATATGGGAGCATCCTGAATTAATGTTGATTCAGTTTTCTTTAAATTATAATCCCCGTGCATACAATGAGGCCATAGTGGGATATTAAAGCTGACATGAATTCTTAAAAACGCAACATTTTCATCTATGTACGACTTGTTTCATACCAACTATAGCCGTATTCCGCCATATTTCTTTCAGATACCTTGTCTCATTGTAACGATATATACCCAAAAGCGCTCGTTACAGTTGAATGATTTTTTGGTTTGGGTATCGACTTGTGCACATCTCCAGTGGTAAAGCATATGAGAACACATGAGGAGATCAAGACATTTCAAAACCACAATAAACAACATAATAATCATATTTCTGAATAATTATTGATTTGAATCAAAAGAAAAAATGCAAGTTTGGTGAGAAATTTAGATGCACCTCACGCATACGTTTTTTTTCAGGGCGCCAATTTATGCAGAATAAACTTGAAATAAAAAGCAGTAAAATCTGCAGACACATTTTGAAATTATATCATTTGAATGGAACAAAACAACCAACGTCTTTGATTTGCAGCCCCTATGCAATTAGTGCATATCGAGAAAACGCCTCGAACGCTATAAACGTACCCATACCTGGTAATAAGGTTACTGCATCCGTTCGAAGATGTGCACAAGTCAAGTGATATACACCCTGAATTCCATTTATTGAAATATGCATCACAAAAAAGAAATAAACTCCGTAAAAGCTCAAAAGTAAACATACTGTCATTACTCCGTACAGACTAGCAGGCCGATACACTTAGTCCGTGCTGATCAGATTTTGGTCAGGGAAAATATCACAAGTGGAAAGATAAGTTATTTGGTATTTGCACGGCTGAAGGGGGGGGGGGGTGTATTATAACTGCTGTTCATAAGCTATAATTGTGAATTGTCTATCTAAATGTAGTTCTAATATACATTCTATACAAAGTCATGTATATAGTCTGCAGTTGGTTTGCGTCGCAAAATTCATTTGTCAATTATAACTGATTATTTTAGTACTAATCTCAAATCTAAACCAAGTAATTTGATGTACGGTAATTATTTACTTCAAATCTTAAAAGCAGTTAACCAGAATACAATTTTTTTTATGTGTACATAGATCTATACGTTATTCAACAGACAAACACAGGAAGAAATGCCATCCCCTGTTCAGATTGACATCTAGGCATTTGATTTTTAGGCGGGGGGGGGGGGGCGTGCAAAAATAATTGACATGACCGTTAAATAAATATTCTTGGAAGACAGACATCTCTGCCGAATTCAATTTTGAATTTTTTTAAAATGTCTCACTCCGACCACAAAGTATGTGCATTTTGAGGAATGTATAAATGTTTTATAATTATGTTGTTATAGAGATTCTATCGAGATTTCAGTATCCCTGCCTGATAGTCTTTTAGTTTTTTTTTAATATAAAAATAATTTCTGTAGGAGTATTTGGGAGATAATTTTAAAAGCTAGGGTAGGGATTCTTGACACTGGTTGAATACGGATAATTTTTATTTACTCTTTTGTATATTGAACTAACTCTCTCTCTCTCTCTCTTTCTCCATCTCTCTCACTCTGTAACCATCCCTTAGGGCAATAATAGGTATAAGATCCTACGCACTTTCTGCTGTACCATTTATTAAGCCTTAGGACAGATCAAGGATTTTTTTTGCAGGCGGGATGTCGAAACTTCATAAATTGAATAATAATTTAAATTTGGACAAGAAGTTAACCCAAACGGCCAAATTGAAAGAGAAACTAGAGGTATTGTGAGCAATGAGCTCACTAAATGATACCCCCGCCTCCCATATGGTTATAATGGCAAAGTCCATATTTTGCTGTTGTCGCTAAACCCAAAATACGTGTCGGATCAAAAAGTAAAATAGGAGGTGCACAATGGTAATATGTAATAAACCTAAGATTCTGTGAAAGTTTTAGTAAATTTCACTAAGTGGTATAAGAGGATTTGCGGATAAGAGATGGGTACCCCAAAGCGTAACAGACCGACGGACGGACATAACTATAACTATATACCCTCCCACTTTTCAAGCGGGGGATATAATAAACGTGAAATATACATCACAGGAATGGGTACATTGGGAACTTTCTCAAATACCTTCTCAAACGCATGGCATCGGAAGCAAATTGAAAGTGTGTGTGTGTGGGGGGGGGAGGCTAATCCTACGCAGCAATGTTCATTGTCTATACTAAGGATATATTTGTAAAAAAAAAAAAAAAAAAAAAAAAAAAAAAAAAAAAAAAAAACTATCCCCCGGTTCCGACACCTATGCTCAACCGTACGAGTCGAACCTGAACCTGGGCAACAGACAAGAGAATTTTTAAAAAGCTAATTGTAGGTAGAATGTTGAATTCTCCCGGGGGTGGGGGTGGGTTTTTTTTTTTTTTTTTTTCTTTTATTGATAACAAACAATGATATAAATAACACACAGATAAACTACATTACACATTGACATTCGATGATTCTTTTCACATAGAATAAAGAAAAAAGAAAAGTTATAAATAACACAGATAAACTACATTACACATTGACATTTGATGATTCTTTTCATATATAATAAAGAAAAAAAAGCTATAAATAACACACAGATAAACATCATACATTGATATTTGATGATTCTTTTCACATAGAAAGAAGAAAAAAAAGATATAATAAATTTAAGACAATAATAAAAATGATAATTATACTAATAATGATGATAATAATAGATAGGAGACGCTAGCTTGTATAATGGAATTATAAAGAATACAGTATGCTCCTATGTTAGCATGATAGGCCACCTTCTACACTTTCAAGAGTCCATAATGCCCTCATGCTAACACGCAGACTCCACAACTGGTTTTGTGGACCTGCTGGTAACATATATTTACATTTACAAATTAATACAAACTTTTTTCAGCAATTTGTGAATCTGTACATTGTCATATGAAAATTCTGCAATATACTGATATGTATTTAAAGATGATTTAACAAAATTAAACAGGGAATCTTTGTTACAAGTTGTATCTGTCAATCTACACTTCATCTTATATTTAAAAATTTTCAAGGCAATGTAAGATATCAATGTATTCATGCCGTTTGTAAAATCTGTGTTTTCATAAAAACCTATTACAATATGCTTCCAACTTATTTTGAAACCTAAAATGGTACTTATTCTATGCCATATAAAATTTGAGTCATTACAGTTAAATAAAAGGTGTATTATATTTTCAATATCTCCACAGTAAGCACAAAATTTTTGCACATTTGGATTCCACTTGCTCACACTCAGGTTATTGTTTAATAATTTATGAAATAATTTATAATTAAATTCTGCTATATGCTTATCAGACATTTTCGAGATTTTCACATGATAAATGGAAGCCCATAGATACCTGGGAGTATCAAACAATTCACTCCAGTAATTTTCCGTTATTGGTCTCAAAAAATTTTTTTCGATGAAAATTTTATAAAAAACAGATGATTTTATTTTATTTATTTGTGTATACCTGTTTCCTTTTAATAGTACAGTAGTACTGTGTCTTATATTAATATACTTTGCCTTTTCACACTCATATGTTTTTGAAAATTTATTAAAAATAGTCTTCATAATGAGGTATTCACACAAGATATTATTTTTGTATAAAATTTTATCATAGAAATACCTAATATCATGGAATATCCCATCTGCGTCATAGAGGTCTCTTATGTACAAAATTCCTGATTTAATCCAATTTTCAAGATAAATTGGTTTGTTTTTATGTGTAAAAAGTTTATTTTTCCATATTGGTAAAGCTAGAAATTCATCCGTGGATAGCTTTGGAAAATCTTTAATCATTTTACATGCATTGAATGCACAAATTGATTCCTTATAAAAGATGGGAATGTTTTTTAGCTCTTTGTAGTCATCTACATTTGTTAAATTAGTTTTTAGAATGTATTCTAATGACAATATTTCC